TGAGGGGAGCAGCACATCGTCATCTAGCGCCAGCGATTCGAAATTGAAGCTCCTACTATCGGTGGCGTTCGCGGTCGACAGTAGCGCACGACTCACCCTAAATGAACTCGACGTAGTGCCAACATTTTGTTTGTCTTGTCAATTGGTGGCAAAAGATGCAGCACATTTACAGTTAAAAGAGTACAGTACTACAACCCGTTTTCGCGCCGTTGGTCCTTTGATTAACTTGCTGAACTAATCCAAATCAGCATCAATGTGTTCGCTATATTCTGATTTACTTGCAGCTCCTATATAGTCCACGCCCGCGAGAATCGGGTGCAGTACTGTACAGTCCGACTCTACGTCTTGGTGTCACCCGCAGGGTATTTTAGTACGCATCACTGCATCCATTCTCCATGCATTGGAGGAAAACATGGACGTCACTGGTGGAGTCGGTTTCGACGTCACCATGAGCTTCGCGTCAAGCCAGACGGAACGCAGTCGCTGGGTATCAGTGACGTCCATGTATTCCTCCAGACTGCCACAGTTGCCAGGCCTCAGCAATTATGCAGATGCTGCTGCGTCTAACGCTAAACAGTGGGGGACCAGGGCTCCCGATTATGGCATTGTTATTTAATGGGAGCCCTCCTTAACCATAAATAATGGCATTGGGCAGCTAGTGCCATCACGTACATTATGTCATGTACTGCGAACAAACAATAAATAAGGGCATAATGTAAAGCAAACCAACACCATGTTAATAATTAGCGAGTGGCCTCGTCGACAGTCTGAGCTGACCAATACTCACCATTTTGGCGTAAGAACAGCAACATTTCTAATGTAATAGGCTGCAAGCTGTGGCGCTATTGCCCGTATGTCGTCCTGGCGACGGTAAAGAACCTCTCAACAAGGTTAGAAGTAGGTGGAATGCAGCTAAGCAGGTCGTACCGCAGCTGAACTGCTGCTAAACGGCGACGTTTTTGTAGACGCGCCACGAATGAGCCTTCATCTCCACTGTCTTCCGCTTCTGCTGCAGTGCGTGCAGGTTCTTCTTCTTCTTCGAGGCAGCGGAAGGGCTGCAGCACTGCCTTCTCGGCCCTCGTTAGTCGTTGGCTCCCTCCCAGGACACGCACACACGCCGACTCGAAGTCTGGGCTATGCACAATGTCCGCGCGTGGTCCTGTGTCACACAAATAAATTTGTTAATAGATCAGCGTGTTAGTAGAAAAAAAACATAATAACGTACCAAGAAAGCTTGCGTAATGTGGTTTTAGGGCAATTAAACCGTCGAACCACACACGCACGTCCAGCAATGTTACACTTATAGCTTGAAGTGCCTTGGACACGGACTCAACCTTTTTTTAGGTCTTTTAGCAGCAAAAGAAGACGCTTGTTACAGGATGGGGCGGGGAGGATGTCCACAATGTCGTCGTCCGTGAGGTCGAGGTGCTCCAGAAGCCTAAAATACCGGTGAACCATGCTGAACGTTGAGCTCCATCGTGTGTCTTGTCGAATTATAGGACGGAGGGAGGTTTTCGACCTGCAATATATATAGCCATACAGAATAAAACCTATAAAGTTAGCAACATATTTTACATATAAATACCAAAAACAGTAAGTACCTGAGTTTAGCCGACTGCTTGAGTGTACGTACGCGCACCATCAGAGCTTGAACACAGGATAGGTCGTCTTCATAATGCTCCATATCAACTTGAACTGCCCTGTTCAGGCGATGGCTAGCACAGCCAACTAGCGGCACGCCAATGAGCGTCGCTAGTAGCCGGTTAACGGCGCAGTTGTCCCCTACAAGAAACAAACAGGCATCCAGCTGCTTACCAAAGTCGCGGGGCAGCATGCCAGCTAGGAACTCGTAGTGTCCGCGCGCAGAGAGATCTTCGTCCGGCTCGCTAAGCAGTCGTGCCATGCACAGGAGCGGGGTCTTTACGACGCCGTCCACCTCGTAGCAAGCAAAGACGGCGACAAAATGCTCCGACGCGTGGCTCCAGCCGTCCAGCATGAGGCAAAATCGCTGAGGCATCTCGGACGCGATGTGACGCTCCACAATCCGAGTGAGACTTTCCATTGCTCGCTGAAGTGTCTCGACACAAATCGGGTCCAAATTAGAGTATCTGAGTAGCACAAAATTTAGTTAGCCTAAATATAATCTACATATTAAAATCTGGCTAAGCGATTGTTACCTTCTAGCAGCGGCATTCTCACAGAAGTGGAGTGGGAGACCGTTTTTGACAATCCAGTCGAGCCAGCCAAATATGTTGAGGGCTGACCGACGGACGTAGTTTAGCAGCGAGCCTGTCTCGGCGGTAGTTGCAGTTAGCATTACAGCCTCGAAGTCCGGGTGCTCCCGACGGACATGCTGCATTAGGTTGGAGTAGCCATTCCGGCGAGTCTGCTTCCGAATCGTGCCACAACGACAGCGGAAGTACTCCGAGACGATCTCGTCCTCGGCGGGACGGCACAGTTGGAAGTAGAACCCAGTAACCTGGGCTGGCGTGAAGGTGGCGTGGCGGGGGAGCGTGGCAAGGACCATAGCAGCTTAGCGAGGGGCTGTGTTCGAGTTGCTCACATTAAAAAGTGAGGACGTGAGCAAGCTGTGTCGTATAGCTGGCTTAGAGAAGTGCTGGTAGCAGAGAGTTTAAGTACAGTAGTGAAAAGTCATGGTTGGTTGTGAGAGGTACATAATGATAAAGAGGTTTTGCTCATAAATTATGTCGGATGATTCCTTAAGCAAATAAATTATTAATAAAATCCAGGTAATCAAAGAAATAAATAATTGTATGATTTTATAAGAAATAATTGAAAAGACCATGCCATAATCGGGAGCCCTGGTGGGGACATAGGACAATCAGTATAGCTCGTAACATAGTAGTTACCGGTAACTATAATTTCGTGAGAATATGGAATACAGTATTATGGGGGCTAGAAGCAGGCGGTACAATAATATTGTACATCAGTCAGGACTCGGAGAATTCCGTATTATTTGGAAAACTCCGAGTCCTGCATACCAAGCAGTCAGCCGAGGCGTACTTAACCACGAGGCCGACGACACAATAACATTTGTAAAGTTTATAAATCGAGCACAGGTACAAATGTCCATGTCCATCAGTGCATTTACCTCCCGGTGTAGTACTAAACCTTACGAATTTTGTGTACTTTTGAGCACCCAGACTATTTGGTTTTGGAAATTGAAACACCAACCGGATCCTTGCTCTGACCTAAATTTCAGAGAACTACCATGTAGTATGTATGTATGTGAACACGAAACACATCGCGAGCCGTCTTGCCACCGAGGTGGCTCAACTTCCGCATGTACCATGTAGTACTGTTTTAATATGAGTAGTTACAATACGGTAATCTTCAGCAAGGTACCATAATATATTTTAGGGTACTATTTTCAGCCCTAACTTTCGATACTAGCTTCAGCCTAGCTCTGTTTAATGAGTCTCGATAGTATAATACCGCTACTACTACTAATAAAACCAGCCAGACCTTCACCCCCGGTGTTTGTGTCGCGAGCCGTATGACCCCAGCAGGTACACTGCAACGCGGAAACGCCAACACAATAAGCTTGCTAGACCGAGTCTCGGGTCTAACCTGCAAGATTAAAGAGATCTATCATAATGAATCAAATCAATAGTTTAGATCGGTCTCTGTCCGCTACAGATCCATCAGTGGGCCTGCTTTAACTCTTAAAACTATTATAATTTCCGCCTTTAAAACGTGGCTTGACAAAGCGAATACAATTTATAAGGCACTTGCACTTGATATTTGTCTATTTACGCGTGAGGTGGTCCACGCACGCGCGAATTAGCCGTAGCGTGTAAACCCGATGCAGTGCATCGGGAGCATCATGCACTACAGTACTGCACTCCGTTTTCGCGGGTATAGAGCATATCTGATTTGCAAATAGCTCAGACTTAAGCTTACAAATCATTGGTAACTTGTTTTCAGAGTCATTACATCCGGAAGTTTATCAAAGGTCCCATGGCGCGAAAACGGGGTGCAGTACTGTACCAAGATCAATACCCGTGAAATTTACTTTTACTTGCCTGGCCCCGAAAAAAAATAAGCAGCTCTCAAAAATCACGATAACTTCTGAATAACTGCTTCAACGTAAGCATGGTTGCCCTTGATACAAGGATTCTCATTCGCAGCGTGAAGACGTTTTTTAACCCCATTACTCCCATTACGTGACCATTGAGTTATAGACTGGTTAACCTTTTTTCGCTTTGCCATCAAAAATCAGTTGAATCAAATTTGTCATATACTCCATAATCAGAGCTAGATTTGCTGAATCCAATCAGTTTGCACTCTTGTGACTCTCCAATTTAATACAAACGGTTCTTAAAACTGATCTGGCTTCTGTCAAATATGATACATATTATATCCACTCAAGCGCATCATCACCATGTCCTTCTTCGGATTCGGCAAGAGCAAGGAGCCTGAACCCACCTCCTCCTCCTCGAATTCGTACTCGTACGAAGAACCCACGTACGACTACAACGCGTCAGCGGTATCGTCGTCCTTTGACTCTCCATCGTCTGCGCCGCCGTCACCCCTTGGTGGTGCGTCTACTGGCGCCGCAGAAATGCAGCAGCTGCTGATGGAAGAGCAGCAACGCGCGCTGATCCAACAGGCTATCTCGAAGATCACGGCTCTGGCCTGGGAGAAGTGCAGTGCTACCAAGCCCGACTCGGAGCTCTCGTCCAAGGAGAAGGACTGTATTAAGAACGTGACGCTCGCTTACCTGGACACGAGCATGTTCGCTGTGCACCGCCTTAACAAATCCGGCAGCACTTGAGTAAGGACGTGGTAACTAAAGCAACCCTAGCAGTGCTAGCGCCTTACGAGGATCCAGTAATAAACGACCAGCACTAGGACATTCATGTTAAGTTTGAAGAGGTAACTCTTTACTAAGCAGGTCGTGTAGTTAAGAAGTTAAGTCCACGGCATTCTACGGTGGTAGTCTTGTCTGCTTTGCTTTCGTGCGACTATATCTATGCCTATATTGGGTTTTCCTCCTTGCTAGTGTGAGAGCGACCGCAGCTTCCGTACACGAACAGTGGAACATTGCCGTAGGGCCCGACGTCGTAGCGCTCATCAGGAGTGAGTCCGCGTATTCCCCACGTGTTACAGATGATGCGCACGTCCTTATTGGTCTGGCTCAGCAGTTTAGTAAACTTAGGGGTCAGCTGATCCAGCGCGTCGGGCAGTAGGTATGTCACGATGACTGTGGCCTCCGAGAGATCCTCATCCAGCAGGTCACCGTGAGAGACGCTCACAAGTTCCTGCAGCTCATTGGCGGCGATTTGTTCGCGGAAGCGCTTTATCAAATACTTCTCGATCTCCACACCACGAGAACGCGCGCCATAGCACTTGGCGGCCTCTATACAGATGCGGCCATCCCCACAGCCCAAGTCGAAAAGGACCTACAGGTTACAGCACATATAAGATGTGAGAGGACGAGCACCCATCATGTACATTTATGACGCACATCGGAGGGGGTCACACGCGCGATTTCTACAATCTTGGATACGACATCGCGGTCGCTCTGACAGGGCGGCGCCAGTGAGTCGCCCTCGATCCACATGAAGGCACCGGGGTTCTGCTCCTCCTCGCCTGATTCCCCGTCGAAATGCACAGGATGCAACTTCATCAGATGAAGTCGCCGTAAAACAAACTGAGTTTTTAAAATTATCTTCGTTGTTCGTACTTAAGTGATTTTCTGAGTAGAGTGGATTTTTGTAAAATGTCTAAAACAATTAGTGGAGGTGTATCTGTAACGGGGTACGTAGCACTAAGTGTACCCTGGTTACATGAAGTGTGACACTTCACACTTCAGGAGTATGACATGTCATACTCCGGGATATTTGGTACAAGGTACCAAGGTCATTCAAAACCAACCATTGGTTAAATGACATTGCATTTCTATAGGTAACTGATAGTTTGTATTAACCACAAACTTAACCTACCTATAAATATACTCAGTTTACAATCTACCTTATTTAGGTCACTTCGCTCTCTTTAATTAAAGAGGGGACCTGTGAACTGCCGTTCACTGAGAGTTTGTATACTCTCGGAAGATAACTTCCTCTAGCGCAAGGTGCTGTGTGACCCCGTCACACTTGGTAGCACTTGTAGTCAATCCACGCCATCGCGGGTAGACTACCTGAACCTCCGAAGTTCGTTGCCATGGATAGGAACGACTTCTCCCATATGAACGACTCTCAGTTCGAGTCGGTTCGGAAGATGGCAGGCATCTTCGGGATGGAGGCCCTGCAGAGCCTGGTGGTATCAACACCGGCTGAGCAGCTCGAGCGCGTCAATGCATTCGACGCGTACGAGCAGGGCCTCATCGCGCATGTGCGGGAGAACCTGCAGGCTCCGGCGGCGGGAGCAAACCCGCCTCACCCGAAGCCAATACGGCTGAAGGTAAAGCCGTATGAAGGGAAGGAAGGCGAGAACCTTCACTTCTGGGTCCGAGAAGTAGAGCTTGCGATGGACGCGGCTCTGATCTCGACCGAGCAACTGCGTGTTGCTTTTGCACTCTCCAACCTTAGCGGTCGTGCTAAGAGTTGGGTGTACACTCGGGAAGCGACATCCCCTGGATGTTTCACATCCTGGGCTCAGCTGTGCGAACAGCTCCGAGCCGCGTTCCTCCCGGCGAACTACGAGTACCGCCAGCGTTCGCGCTTCCTCGCGTGTAAACAAGGAAGACGCGAACTGCACGAGTATGTGCAAGAGATACGGGAGCTCACGGCGTCCCTAGTGGGAAACCCACTCAATGAACACATCAAGATGACTGTGTTCATGGACGGCCTTCGAGTGGGCCCCGCACGCACTCAGCTGTTCCGGGTGCAGGCAAACACCCTTGAAGAGGCGATTCAAGTGGCTCTTCAAGAAGAATACAGCCATCGCCAGGCGCGTACGCCGGCCTCAGCGTGGCCTGGGAGTTCCTTGTCGGCTCCCGGTCGAACAAGCCCCAACGGACCAGTTCCCATGGAACTCGGGTCCGCCGAACAGCGTGACATCCGCTGCTTCGGCTGTGGGAAGATGGGCCACTTCAAGCGCGACTGTCCCGCGGAAAGACTCCGCAGACGGTCCTTCCCCAAGCCCGTCCTCAAGGGTCGCTGGCAGAAGCCAGGATCCCGGGGACAGGGGAACGCAGGGAACCAGTAGGGGCGGGGCGCCCTACTGGGGAAGAACTAAGTCTTCGTGATGGGTGCGCGGGTGGCGTGTACCACGGGGACTTAGCCCCTGAGAGTCTTCGCACTCTCGAATCGGCGAAGAGCAGCGGCGGATTGCTCGTAGTACACGGATGTGTACGGGGGTACGATCACCCCTTTAGAATCTTGATTGACTCTGGGGCGTCGAAGAATTTCGCACGCCGCCAGACGGTTGCTCGTAACAGCAACAAGTTGTCCGAAGCTTTGCGAGAAAGCAAGGGCAACGGGACGGTGTCAGTGCGACTGGCCGACGGGAAGGTCGTCACTGTCCCCAACGTCCAAGTGGATCTGGCTGTCAAGTTTGAAGACTTTGACAGCCTCGAACAGTTCACTGTTCTCGATATGGATCCATATGATATGATCCTGGGCATGCCCTGGCTTGAGAAGCACGAGCCCTGGATCGACTGGCGAGGCAAGGCAATCGGTGCCAGCCGCCCTGCGCAGTCCGACAGAGCATTGGTGAGTCATGTTCCCACCTCTGTCAGGACCCCGGGGCGCCCGCGAGGGCTGCCAGGGTACCAAAGCATCCGGCAGATGCTTGGGAGTCGTCGACGTATATGACGACTCCGAGGATGTTTTGATGGTGGCCGCGCCCAGAAGAGGCGCCGGCCAAGTGGGTAACTTAGGTCCACAGGCGGGTAACTTAGTTCCGCAGACAGCTGCAGCTGTCATGAACACTGAGAACAGCGTGTTCAGAGTGGGTAACAGAGTTCCACTCACGGTCGCCCAGACCATAACTGAAGAGGAAGACGTCGGATACGCTTCCTGTGTGGGTAACACAGTGCCACACGCGGTCGCCCAGACCTTAACTGAAGAGGAAGGCGTTGAACACGCTTCCTGTGTGGGTACAACAGTACCACACGAGGCCACGAGTGCCTCGGATGTCGTAGCGACGACATCCCTAGACGTGGGCAGCAAAGCTCCCCGTCACAGAAGCCGTCGGCAAAGACGCCGCCGCCGCCTCAAGTCGGATCCGAACTTCGTTCCGATCGACGTCGCTTCAAGCGACTCGGAGTCCAGGGCCCGGGCTCCTCCGACAAGGCCGGTGGAAGAGTGCTATCACATCTTCGATAGCGAGACGGGTTTACCCGTCAAGGCATCTGGTGTCCACTTGGAACAGTTGCCAGAGGTTGCAGAGATACTGAACCTCGAGGAAATGACGGCTGAGTCTTTCCTGGCCAACCTCAAGGCTGGAGAGATCGCTGAGATGGTACTCATAAGACCTGGGACCACTCAGGAGGAGCTGAACTCCTCCTCTGTCTTGGACGAGAACGTCCTGGAAGACATGAACAAGCAGCGTCAGGCGCGCTTGGGTTCTGAGATTCTCAAGAACCCCAAGGATCCGGTGTATCCTTTGGTGACGGAGTATGCGGACGTGGTGAATAAACACCCACTGACCCAACTCCCACCGGATCGAGGCGTACGGCACGAGATTGATCTCGTGCCCGGCACAAAGTATTGTGTCACGAGGCAATGGCCTCTCCCGCGCGAACAGTGCGAGGTCATTGATGCCTTCTTCGCCGCGAAAGCGAAGGCAGGCATGGTGCGGGAGTCGAAATCCCCGCACTCGACGCCGACTTTCTGCGTTCGTAAGCCGAACGGAAAGTGGCGTCTGGTTCACGCTTATAACAAGCTGAACAACGCAACGGTGCCGGCCCAAACACCGATCCCACGAAAGGATGTGTTGTTGAACAACATGGCCGGGAGCGTACTGTACAGTGCGCTGGATTTGGTAGACGGATACTACCAAATCCTGATGCGAGAGAGTGACATCCCGCTCACCGCGGTAAGCACTCCAAGCGGCATGCTTTGGGAGTGGCTCGTCATGCCGCAGGGCTTGTCTAACGCCCCGGCGACGTTCAATCGCCTGGTGACGCAATTGTTCCGCCCTTTGCGTACCTTCGTACAGACGTACTTCGACGACATTTTCGTCCATAGCCGTGCCGAGGGAGGCAAGACGGCCATGGAGGTGCATCTAGGACACCTCCGTCGAGTGTTGGACGTGATGCGAGCGAACAAGCTCTACGCCAACATCGACAAGTGCGTTTTCGCGTCACCAGAGATCAAAGTTCTCGGTTGCTTCGTAAGCAACGTGGGCGTTCGGGCTGACCCAGACAAGGTCAAGGCCATAGCAGCATGGCCGACGCCCCGATCCCAGAAGGATCTTCGAAAGTGGTTGGGTTTGGCCAACTACCTTCACAAGTACAGCGCTGGGTACGCGGGCTTCGCTAAGCCTTTGTCGAGCCTCCTTCAGAAGGACGTCGACTGGCGCTGGGAACAAGAGCACCAGAATGCTTTTGACAGCATCAAGGCCAGTCTCCAAGAGGCCCCTGTCCTGGCTCTGCCGGACGAGACGAAGCCGTTTAGCATCGTCTGCGATGCGTCCGATTACGCCATCGGGTGTGCAATGCTGCAGGACGACACGGCTGGACAGGAACGAGTCATCTCGTTCCAGTCCCGGCAGCTCAAAGCCGCCGAGCGGAACTACCCTGTCCATGACAAGGAGCTCCTGGCAATGAAATATGCCCTTGTGAAGTTCCGTGTTCACCTTCTGGGCTCTAGGCCCTTTGTGATCTACACAGACCACGCGTCCTTGAGGACGGCGACTAACTCGCCTCACCTCTCCCAACGGATGGCGAGGTGGCTGTCCTTCTTCGCGGAATATAACTTCCGCGTCGAATACAAGCCGGGCAAGCTCAACGTGCTTGCGGACGCCCTCTCTAGGCGTCCCGACTATGAGTTGGCCCACATCACGCGGGTGACAACGGATCTATATGATCGGATACGCATGGCGTATCGGGACGATGAGGCTGTCGCGCCTATCGTCAAGTTCCTTAAGGCCGGAACGAGCGCGAAGTCCGACTGGCTCTCGTCGCGACAGCGCTCACGGCTCCACCGATATGAGTTGAAGGAGGGCCTCCTCTATTATCGGGTAGAGCCCACTGATCCTCCACGGGTGGTTGTACCCAACGACGAGGATCTGAAGTTCGACATCCTCGCGGAGGCGCATGACGCGCCCTCCAGCGGCCACTTGGGCCGCGAGAAGACCTTTCTGTCGGTCTCTCAGTCCTTCTGGTGGACCCACATGTACAAGTGGGTCGCCCGGTACGTCAAGACATGTGAAACATGTCAGCGGGTTAAACCCGCAGGGCACTCTTCGGCTCCACTACAGAGCCTGCCCGTACCGGCTGGTTGTTGGAAGTCGATGAGTCTTGACTTCAGCTTTGGGCTTCCCGCCGACGGACACGGCAACACCGGAATTTTGGTGTTCGTGTGTCGGCTGAGCAAGATGGTACATCTTGCTCCAGTTCCCGTCACTGTAACGGGCGAACAAACCGCAAGGTTGTTCGTCGATGGCGTGTTCCGCTATCACGGTCTCCCGGAGACGATTGTCTCGGACCGAGACCCGCAGTTCACTGCCGCGTTTTGGAAAACGCTGTTCC